TGCTGAAGTTCACATGATCCACTTTAGGTATAAACACAGACAATGTAGGTAGAGTTATGGGTTCGAACCTTTTGGAGTTTTTACTCGTTTATTTTTCTCTCTACCTATCGTTATATCACCTCTTGTATTCCTGTGCTATGCTACCTGAACGAAGAAGGCTCCCTCTAGTGCCTGAGCCAGGTCATCGTGGCTTCTAAGTAGAGCAAGCTGTTGGTTAGCAGTCAGTTCTCCTCTGAGCATCTGGGCTTCCTCCAGTTCCTTCAGCTGCTTACTGAAATAGCGAAAGTAAGAAAAAAATAACCCATAGTTAGTAACTCAGAAAAACAAAGTTATTAACATTGGTTAGGTTATTAAGAAATATGTTAAAGTTATGCAAAATAACTTTATAATTTTGCTCTACAAAGAAAAAAAATGCAAGACGGCACAAAATTAGCTTAAACGTAGCTTATTAGCTAAGTTAGCTAAAAATACTGTTATATAATGTAGCCAATAAGATGACTTATTTTAGTTGGTGATTCAGATAATGTTTTCTACAAGAGCGGCCTCTTCTGTTCAAATTGGACACCAACAGACTGACATGACAAGTGACGCTAAAATCTATAACATTTTGGTATTAAAAATGTACTTTTACCTCCATTTTTTTTAAAGAGTTGCTTTTTGTTTCCTCTGAACAACATTTTTCAAATGTAAAGCGGGGTTGTTTGTCAAAATAGTGCATTGTCGTTTCACAGTAATGTTTAACCAGCCATGACTTGGCTTTTTTAACCCTGAACATGAGTTTGTTCGTGTGTTCCTAAAATAACAGGAAGCTGCTGACACTGCATGTTCTTGTGTCTTTCTCTGTAGGTTGAGGGAAATGGAAAATGGAGTCCTGACATGGCTGGTTAACAAGCAGTAAGGCCACTACGTAGAAGCTTGGTAAGAAGAAACTTATAAGTCATGTATAGCTATTCAAGGTATCTGAACCTATAGCAGGAATTCCAAACTGAATTAATTTAATTATAAACTAAATGTCCCTTAAACAACAATAACTGTAAGTACACCATCTGAACCTATAGCAGGAATTCCAAACTTAATTAATTTAATTTAATTAATTTAATAACTGTAAGTACACCTTATGAATACATTTATTAACCACTAAACAATGTAAGAAATACTGTACGCCATGGGACACATGAAACCATCCAGGTGCTACAATTGTTCTACTGGAATTTAGACATGTGCGTCTTACTGTGTGAACTTATTGTAATGAATATGACATGACAAGGAACCATGCTATGACTGTTTACCAATGCAGGACAAAGTGCAGTATTCTGCAGTAGGACTGACCTGATCTCTGTGATGGCCTTAGCAGCCTGTCCTGGAACATTATCGAAGATATTCACATTGTAGCCTCCACTGACAAACACCATGGACCAGGAGCGCCCGATCAGACCACTAAAACACACACATGCACACACTTCTGTCAACACATAGTCATTTATAATGGTAACTGACATTTCATTAAATGAGGATCAATATTCATTTTATTGTCCATTATGCCCAAATAGTGTGGAGACCTCCAGAGATGGTGTGTGTTATGGAGATACTACACCAAATATGTTAGTAGATAAAGCCAGGGGAAAGAGGAAGATACTGAGAAAATTCGTGATGAACGTAGGCGAGGTGAAAAAATGGGACAGGTCCACGCAAAGGAAGAACTGGCATTTTTGACTTATTGTACATAGAAACAGGTACACACACAATAGTTTTCGTTTCCTCTGCGCGAACACACTACAACTAGGCGGGATTTGAACCAGCGTCAACACGGATAACTTCTTGTACTTTGGGTTGCGTTTTAACTATTGGTTTACAACGTGTGGTTTTCGTTTATACAATCAACATGCACGAAATCATCAAAACAGATCTATCTAAACTGCTTGTGAACAATGAACAACATTGGCGCAAGAAACTTCCTTAAACTCACCTGCCGATTACAGCGATAGTCTGCACGTCAGAGTGACTCATCCTGCATGTATTGAGAACTCAGTTTAGATCCTCAAGCCACCCGTCTACAGTATACTTCAGTCAATGTTTATTTCTTTTAATCACAAACTGTTTCTCCACCCCTGCGGTCACGTTTTTTGGTCCGGCTACCGTGTCAATAAAGGGCCAAAACAACTTCGCGTTTGAATGCACCCTGCCTGAATGATAAAAAGGTTCTAAAAATAACCAGTTACCACCTTAAATGTATTTGTTTTACTTCCAGGTTCATAAAAGACGCAATGTGTAAGTGTAAGTACTGAGACTTGGAATAAATGATACTGTATCCTAGCAACGAGCAACCACAATCTTAGCAAATCACGTTACAGCGAGATAATGATTGAAGCCTAGTTCACCAATTAGAAGCTGGGAAACACGATTGTCCCGCCCCAGCCGCTAGGATCTCTGGGATTGAGTCGGGGAAACGACAACAAATAATTTTGCTTTCCTCACTGATAACGTTGAAAAGTTATCAGTTTTAATTGTACCTTTACTTTGGAATAACAAAAATGGAGAATGTGCATTTAGCTCCGGACGAAGATGATCTTTACTCCGGTTACAACGACTATAATCCCGCATTTGACTCCGAGGTGAGTTTAGTAGCCGTGCTAGTAAAGTAGCTCTAGGTGGAACCAATTAGCTGATACTGCTGATTAAAAGAATTGACTTGTAACGAAAACACAATTATAAACTTGTTGTGCTCTTCAAAGTTTGGTACAAAAATAGGAGTTTGTATTTTATCAACATTTTGTATTCAAAATAAAGAAGGCGTACCTTGTAGTAGCTTTGAAAAAAACCAAAACAACTAAGCAGCTTCTAAGTTTATATTTCTATAAGTAATCTATTTAATGATACACGCATCATTCGAAATTCCATGACGTATTGTGTGGTATTTTATAGTACTATAATAATTTTCCTATAGTGAACTCAATCAAAATGAAAATGTTTTCCTTTCTGTGATGGCTCTGAAAATCAAACATGTACGTAGTATTGTATTACTTTATCAAATTGCAAATAGTTAAATGTCTAGTATAATGTGGATTGTGCCCTTTACATAATCAAAACATTACTACAGGCGTTTTAATTATTATTATTTGATAAAGTTGCAATGTTTTTATAATGTATCCCTTTCTAAGGAGTTGGATAATGATGCAGGATTTCAGCAAGCAGTGAGGACAAGTCATGGAAGAAGACCTCCTGTAAGTAAACATGGGACTGGTTTTATGTATATAAAAAGATGGAAAAAATGATGGAGAATGAGATTACATCTTCATTCAACCATTGTTCAAATGTCCTAATTTTGACAGATGACGGCCAAGTTTCCTGGCACAGCTATTGGAGCTCGTCCTCTTGCTACTTCATTTGGTGTAAGTCTGTAATTTATATATGTATATACTGTATATATGTTTTTAAAACAGAAATTAAATCAGTCTAAAAACACACTCTCTTAACATATATTGCTTTATTTTTAGCCTCGGACTTCTATGACCTCATCAATGGGCAGACCAATGACTGGAGCTGTGCTGGTGGGTGGGACTGACTGATCAGTTGCTTATTGTGTGATGCAAAATAATCTTATTTGTAATAGTTTTTAAGGCATAAAAAGAATTAGTGTCATGCTTCACAAAGCTAAAACACTGATTTTGTGCTGAGAAAATATCAAGTAAGGTGTCCTTATTTGTGACAGGATGGAGCTGCCCGACCCATGACCGCAGTCAGAGCTGCAGGTTACACATCATCACTGACCCGTGGTGAGTTTCCCTTTTCTTTTCTTTAAATTATTTTTTTCTCAATAGTTTAATGTTTTTTGCTTATGAGAACACTTGTAATATTATGATTGTCCATCCTTTCTTACACCTTACTTTTGGAGTTTTGTTTACGTGATTCTTATACACAGGTTATATTAAGAAGAACAACCCAACTATTGATTTTTGTAGTTCAATTAAAAGCAATTACACAAATGCTGATCTATGAAAACAGTAATTCATAGAATTAATAATATTTTTTGCTTTAAGGTTCAACCTTTGACCCTTTGGGTCAGTCCAGAGGCCCTGCTCCTCCTTTGGAATTAAAGACTGAGGATACGTGAGTCACAAAAATAATTCATTCAGATTCTCTGTTTCTTTGAAGAATATTTTAAAACATCAACACACAGAATAGAAAATGAAACTTTTAAGGTCAGATGACATTTTATATTAAAATAATATATATTGTATATTTTTTAAGGAGATATAGAAAGCTTTATGGTTTTGAACAACATCATGTTACACTGTACTTTTGTGTCTTGAAGGCCTGAGGAGAAGATCAAAATCCTGGAAAAAAAAGTAAATGACCTAATAGAAGAGAGTTCCATGGCACAGAGCATGGGAGCCCTGCAGCTGGTCAGTCCCTTGTACTTCCTATGCAGTTATTAGAATATATTAATAGGGATGCACCGAAATGAAAATTATTGGCCGGAACTGAAGACCATAATTTGGGAAACCAAGGTAGAATACCGAAACGCTAAAAGAAATAATTTTGCCAGATGAAAATCGTTAATAAAAGTAAAAGTAAAAGTTAAAATGTATGAGATCCCCAGGTTTATAAGCTCATTACTTAACATTTTGTAGACGGCTCACAAAAGTATTTGCTTATTATGTGATGTGATTTTTTTTCAGGCTCTTGAAAAAGCAAAAGAAGCGGGGAGGAAGGAGAGAGCTCTGGTGAGGCAGAGAGAACAGTCTGGAAATGGAGACCACATCAATTTAGATCTCACTTACTCTGTAAGTAAAGCCAACATACTGTATGTGACTGTGATGCCTAGAAGTGAAACAAACACTCACCTTTAGTTCAAAACAGACAGAAGAAGAAGATGAGAAGGTGAAACTGGATTTTATTTCTGATTTTAAAATTATGACTAAGTACAGAATATCTCTGTTGTCATCAGGTTTTGCTGAACCTGGCCAACCAGTACGAGAACAATGAAATGTACCCAGAGGCTCTGAACAGTTACCAGGTCATAGTAAAGAACAAGATGTTCAGCAATGCAGGTCAGTAGGCTCTTCAGCTTCATTCACAGTGAGTCTGCGCCTCTCAGTGCTGCAGATTAGACCAGGAGACTACTTCATGTAAAAACAAACCCACAGAAATGGAAATACAGAAGCTTCTCCTGTGCTTATCTCCAGGCCGGCTCAAAGTCAACATGGCCAACATCTACTTCCAACAGAAAAACTACCCCAAAGCCATCAAGTTCTACCGCATGGCCCTGGACCAGATCTCCAATGCTCACAAGGAGATGAGGATCAAGATCATGCAGAACATTGGTGTGGTTTTCATACGTATGGGCCAGTATTCAGATGCCATTACGTCCTTCAGTCACATCATGGGCGAGAGCCCCAACATTAAGACTGGCTTCAACCTCATTCTGTGCTACTACGCCATCGGAGACAGAGAGATGATGAAGAAGGCCTTTCAGAACCTCATCTCTGTCCCTCTGGGAATCGATGACGAGGACAAGTACATCCCATCCAACGTGAGTTTGCTTTTTACTAGTGGTCTTTCTGTATGTTTGGTTTTAAACTTACTTTACTTTTTTTACAATTTAATTGTGATGAACATATTTAAGATAAACTTCTAATTTAATCCATCTTTCAGGACGACCCCAGTTCAAACATGGTGGTTGAAGCCATTAAGAACGACAAGCTTCACCAGATGGAGAGAAATCTGTGAGTGCTTGCACTACAAACTACAAATCTCCCTACAGCAACTATGAAAAAAAAATCACTGCACTCTTGTTCCACTCGGTGTACAAAAACACAAGCCCACACTGTTCTTTTTATAATTGTGGTTTGTGTTTCCATTTTTATAATTCCTCTCTCTCCTCTTCCTGTTTATTGTGTGTAGAAAATCCCTGACTGAAAAATACATCATGACGGCTGCCAAGCTCATTGCTCCTGCTATTGAAACTTCATTTGCTGCTGGATTCGACTGGTTTGTCTTGAATGTTTTCACTTTTTTTCCCCTGATTTTGCATTTTTCGAACACTAGAGGGCGACATTAAACTTAAACATCCAGTAACCGTAGTCCTGTGAAAGACTGAATAATATTAAAGATTAGGTTGGTAGTTTTAAGAAATAACTGGAAATACAAAAACATTTGTATTTATGCTCATCTACTGTTTCTGTGAAACACGTTTCAATACAATTCAATAAAAATAACTTAAAAGTAGTTCAGAAAAAGTCGGCAAAACAAACCCTAAACTTAGCCAAAGTATTGCTAAAAGTTAGTCCAGAAAGTGCCACAGGTTAGCAGTACAGCACTCTGGCATTGACAGTACATGTTAGAAAGCAAAACCTCTAAAACTACTGATGATTATATCTTTATAAGACAAAAAATATAATATTAGCAGGAAAATAAAATGTTACATAAAGTTTTAAACTACAGATGTGAACTTAGACCGTTGTGTTTCTTAGGTGTGTGGACATGGTGAAAGGTTCCCAGTATGTTGAACTGGCCAACGATCTGGAGATCAACAAAGCCATCACCTACCTCAGACAGAAGGACTTCAACCAAGTGAGTATGAAGAGCATTATGATGTCATGTTTTGCCATCTTGCTTTATGATATTGCATAGATCAGACTTAACAGTTCTCTGCCAAATAATTAATTACATGAGCAGCTTATCCCTGCTAGAACCTATGACTCTGTGATTAATCTGCCCTCTTTGTTTCTGAACCTTCCAAGTCTGTTGTTGATCTGTGCAGTTATTGTCAGTAGTGTTTGCATACGTGACATTTTTAATGATAATGTTGTTTCAGCAGAGCAGCATCTGTGTCTCGTTGCCACTTCTCATTGCCCTCCATTCTCTCTCTTTTGCTTTTTCCTCATTGCCTTCCCATGTGCATGCTTAAGATTGAGGTATGTGTGCTTTCTGTTTCCATGTTTTAGTGTGTGTTGATTTTGCTTGTGGAATGATGCATGTCTTTTATGAAGAACAGTGCAAAACTCTCCTGGGAATCAGGTGTTTGGTTTTTTTTGGTTTTTTTTTTAGATACATTTCATCTCCAACATCTTTAATATTGCGATATCCATGTGCACCTTTTTTGACTGCCTACAGAAAGTGGTGATAGTGTTAGGTCTGGGTCATGTTTTCCAGGTCTATATATCAAGTCTCTTGCTTGACAACCAAGGTTGATCCTAATTTTACTGCTGAGCTTGTTTGCATTCTGTAACCTTTTGGTTTCTGCCCACACACTGTTTTCTGGCTTTTATATATTATATAAAAATCTATCTGATTTAACCTGTTAATATGGACAAAAGTCATATCATTAGCATATTGTACCCTTTTAAAGAAAGATAGTCTTGCGGATGTACCTTGGTCCGAATGACCGCTAAACTTTATTCCACCACTCAAATAAATTCAATAAATGATCATTTAAATTCATGAAAACATTGTTTTAGAACTGTTTGTAGTGAGTAGTTACCATGGAAATCGTGAAGTGTTACAATAATGGAGTAAAGTACCATGTTTTCCTGATGCATTTTTTTCATCAAATTGAATCAGGCAGTAGAAACCTTGAAAACGTTTGAGAAGAAGGACAGCAGAGTGAAGAGTGCGGCAGCCACCAACCTCTCTTTCCTTTACTTCCTGGTAAGACTCTTGGCTTCTGTCTTTAATAATAGGCTGACTGAAATCGAATCTTTCAACAAATCGATTTGCTTCTGGAATGTTCTGATCTCTTTTCCTTGGCTCCTCATCAGGAGAAGGACTATGACCAGGCTGACCGTTATTCTGATCTGGCCATGAACGCAGACCGCTACAATCCAGCCGCTCTGATCAACAAGGGCAACACGGTGTTTGTCAGACAGGACTACGAGAAGGCAGCAGAGTTCTACAAAGAGGCTCTGAGGAACGACTCCTCCTGCACTGAGGCCCTGTACAACCTCGGTAACACCACTAATGCTGGACCTTCAGTGTTTACTGAGTTATTGCAGCCCTAACATTGACTGACGGTCTTTGTCTCCTCTTTATAAACAGGGCTGTGCTATAAGAAACTCAGCCGTCTGGACGAGGCTCTGGACTGTTTCCTCAAGCTCCATGCTATTCTGAGGAACAGTGCTCAGGTCATGTACCAGCTGGCCCAAATGTATCCTTTGTTAGAAGGTTAACACTAAACTACTAACTTTGTAGTGTGTAGTGTTGCATCACATGATACGAACAGAACTCCGATGTAAGTCGAGGACCCCTGCACAGTGCTTGTTCCCTGGAGCACTACCTTGTACTTCATTTTTTGTTTTGTATTGTTTGGAGATGCCCATTAACAATAATCGATTGAGCTAAAAACATCCCTTTAACCATATCTGTAGTCGTACTGAACTATTGTGTTGGCAGGGTCAAGTAGTTAGAATTGTATTGAAGAAACTAGACCCAGGCTGATGAGAATTTAAAACCTGTGTGACTTTCCACTTCAGTAGCTCTTGGTCCTTGACTCTCTGATCTCAGCTATGAACTCCTGGAGGATCCCCAACAGGCCATTGAGTGGTTGATGCAGGTGATCAGTGTGATCCCCACTGACCCTAAGATACTGGCCAAACTGGGAGAGTTACATGACGCAGAGGGCGACAAGTCCCAGGCGTTTCAGTACTACTATGAGGTAAGAGGACTTCACTTTAACTGAGAGCAGGCAGAGATCAAAGGTCAAAGCCTTTGCACCAGACCTGATGTGATAGACCGTATGTTTATTAAGTCCTTCAGGTATTTTCCGTCTAACATTGATGTGATCGAGTGGCTGGGGGCCTACTACATCGAGACTCAGTTCTGCGAAAAAGCCATTCAGTATTTTGAGAGAGCTACACTCATACAGTAAGTAATCTTTTTTTTTTACAGTTTTGCTTTGAGAAATTTTGCTTAGAGTAGCATCTGCTACAATTACATGCTAACTCAATGTTTTACAACCTGTTTTGGCTTCTGATCCCATTTTGACATCACAAATTTATGGTGACATTATTGAATGTTGAAAATAGTAGTAGCAGTAGTAGTAGTAGTAGCAGTAGTAGTAGTAGTAGCAGTAACAGCTGCCACTTGTGTTGAACTTGATTTATATTCATGAAAGTAAAAGAATACAGTTGTTTAAGGAACGAATATTAATTAGTTAAAAAAAGTAGATTAGACATTCAAAGTGACCCCATGCTGGGTCACAACCCCAAGGTTGAAGAACACTGTAACAACTGCTTCACACAACTGACCTGATGTTGGGACGCAGGTGATAATTGATCAACAAATGTGTCAACAGACCAAATAAAGCTTGTCGAGCTGCCAGTATGGCGTTATAGTCATATAGTGGAAATATAAGAAATGCAGTTTCTACAATAGTTCGTAACAGAAGTTCTTTTTTTTCTCAATTTCTCCAACACAACACTTTAGTGTCATCTGGAAATTGTTTAACTTTTAACTTGAGCACAAGAACAAATTATTTGATTTCCTTTTTCTTCCAACTGGATTCATAAGTGGAACATTTTGCATTCTTGTTTCATTAAATACATGCCTCACTGCAGGATTGTGGGTTTTTTTTTTAACTTTCTGAATGTTTTTTTTTCTTTCAGACCAACACAGGTGAAGTGGCAGCTGATGGTAGCGAGCTGCTACAGAAGGAGTGGTAAGAAAACCAAGTGTTATTTACCTTTTGGTTATTTAGCAGTGTTAAAAAACATCTGATTTAAATAATACGGTTTTACTGACATTATGATCTGTTTAAGTGCAGATGCTTTAATGATTGCTAAGAGGTAATTAATACCATGTTTACTGTTTTTGGGTATTTGGCTAATATTTGACATCTTCTAGCCAACAGCTAATGCCCTGTAATCACACAACAGTTTTATTTTAAGCTTACCTCTGCTGGATTCTAACCCTGATGTCGATCTACCTTCTGGTCTTCATAGGAAACTACCAGAAAGCTTTGGGCACGTATAAAGACATCCACCGCAAGTTTCCAGAGAATGTTGAATGTAATGAATTATCTTTGTTGCACATCTAAATCATCAGAAGTTCAAGAAATGGTTGATCATAATTTTTTTTTCCAGGTCTGCGATTTCTGGTGAGGCTATGCACAGACATAGGCCTGAAGGAAGTCCAGGAATACGCCACCAGACTGAAGAAGGTGGAGAAGATGAAGGAAATCAGAGAACAGGTTTGTCTGCAGTGAATTGTTCAGTCTCACAGGGACCAGATTTAAAATAAATAGAAAACATGGGTGTTATCTTTTAGAATTTGAATTAGTAAAGTAATGTACAATTCGTCCTGTTATCCTTAAATTTAAGCTAAAAAAAATAGATATAAAGTGGCACTAAAATAAAAAAAGTGTCAGGGTTAAAATTGCTAAATGGAGCTATACGATAATTATGAGCCAGAAAACAGTATTGTATTAAATATATTTAATTTTTTCCCCAAAAAACATAAGTATTCACAGCATTGAAAACATCTATCAAACATTATCTATCAGTGACTGTTTTTCTGCCTCTAGAATTAACAGATGTTTTGTGACATCACTGAAGTTGTGAGGAAATTTGAAGTATTTATTGGGGTTTTTTCATAGTAAAACCACAACATTGAAGCGTAATAAAGAAAAACAAAGATGCAAACTTCCACATCTACATCTTCAGATCCAGATCCATAAAACGACTTCTCTAAAATTATTTTATACTAACAATGTGCTCAGAAGACTGAATGGATATGAAAGTCATGCAGCTTCACCGAAATGTCCTGCTAGCTTTTTCTGTCGTATTAAATCTGTTTTGCCATCATTTCCTGGAGTAGAGCACGCTGATGGAAAACATGTACTCGTATTTTGGACATGTGGTGGGTCAGTGGTCACTGTGGCTCCAGAAATGCTGTAAATAGCGTGTGTTTTTTTTCTGTTTGTTTTCATTGAATCAGAACTTGTTGGGAGGAGAACAGCCGTTGAACAGCTGCCTGACGCTGACACACTTCGGTGTGCTGTGTTTTTCACACATCTGATGTGTGTGCAGTTGTTTGGGAGGTTCACTGTCACCTGGAAACACATTTGTAGTTGTTGATTGGTTTTTATTAAAGCCAGTCTGGGTGGTGGCTGCTTTTCCAATGGTGGAAGTGAAACATGCTCCACCTAAATCTCTTCGTGGAAATGTTATTTTTAACTTTTTTTTTTCCCCAGTTCAAGGATATGTATGAAATATTTACTTGGCAAATCATCTTAATCATGATTAATCAAGGTGAACTTTAATTCCTTGGAACAAAAACAGAAAGGAGAATAAGAGCAATCAATCGTGTGTAATTGGTTAAACTTGTTTAAATTTATGACTTATTCAAATTATATAACTAAGTATTAATGTGGAGATGTCAAGAACATTTTAGTCATAACTGCATCTTAACGGTGGCTCGTAAAATGAGTTGTTTTAGCTTAGTATTTTGGGGAATTTTTGCTTCTTTTTTTTTGCAAGTTTATGGTTTTTTACAGAATTTTAACTTTATCTTTGTTAACTTTAATTGTCTTGTGGAGATTTTTTTTAGCATTTTTTTTAACCAAATCTCTTGACTTAAAAATCTGTTCTTTTATTTGTTACTAAAAGTAGATAAAAATCCCCCCAAATAGTTCCCCAATTAACCCTTCACATCCACTGATCTTGAGGGATGGATTTTGAGGTGATTTCCAGAAAGTCTTAAGTCCAATCCCAACATGGACAACAGTCCTATGAACATGTCTGGAGTCAGTCAGTCAGATTTTAGGGGAAGATTCGAATCAACAGAACCGTGTCGCCTCGGTTCTGTGGAGATTTCTTTTCTTCATGGCCAGGAACAGATGAGATTTGGACTTTTTTTTTTTTAAATCACAACCATCTGCTGTTAAATCAGCCTGAGACGCTGCTGGATCAGAAGAACATTTCTGCACCGAGCCAGAGGGTTGACTCATAAATCCCAGTGTTCTCTGAACACTGAACGAGAAGGAAGACAGGTCCAAACACCCACCTCACTGATATAAGTTACTGTCTGCTTGTAATGACTGGGACAACGGTCAGGACCAAAATTATTTAAGGATTATTAAATCCCGTCGTTTTAGGAATGCTGACTCTGTAAATCCATGGTAATTCCCCTCTTAATATTCTGTGGGATTCGACTGCTTTGCTCTCACTCTGTCTAGGGTTAAATGAAAACAAACTGAACAGTAACATTCTATAATGTGACATTTGTATGAATATCCACTTTTATTATGTACATTCATTGATTGTTTTTCTTTTATTTAGGGCTTAGATGCAGATACAACTGAGATACAGGCTCAGCTCAAAAATCTCATTTTCAAAATATGAAAGGTTAATAGTTAGTTTTCTTTCCCTCTTGCAGAGAGTGAAATCAGGGCGAGAGGGCAGCGCCAGAGGTCGCAGAGAAGGCAGAGATGGGAGCGCTGGGAGTGCAGGTAAGTGAAGGTCTTTGATCACTCTCCTGCGGCCCACCCTACCTGAGGACACCTTTGTCCTCTGCTTCGGCTACGGTGTTGGAGTATTGTAGTTTTTCTTCGTTTGTATGCTTCATTCTGATGGTGTATACAGTAGCTTATAAGAGCTGGACCAGAGTATGCAATCCGTTTGCAGGTTTGTTGGAAAGATTTCTATTTTGGGAAGCTGAGTTAAAAGATATTTGAATCTATAAAAATTGTCAGATAACTGCGAAAAGTCCAGAAATAGTTACAGCGCTGGCAACTGGACGCAGTAAATTTTTTTAAGACCACACCCTATTCTAAGCCCCCATTTAGTGATTACTCCAGGGTCAGAGTGTGGACCTCTGTCTCCTCACCTGAAACCATCAGCTCAGACATCACACGCTTCACTTTCCTTTTCCCACTTATTTAAAAGCTCATTTGAGACACATTATCGTGAAAGTCCCTCGACGTCGGAGCCAAGATTCCTGTTTTCTGGGATTTCAATAACAGCATTGCCAAAACCTGAGAAGACAAACCTGCACGGGTATAAAACCGTCACTACAAAGCTACAACACACAAACAGAGCGCAGACCGACTGTCACACTGGAAATCTGGCCCAGCAGCAGATTTTCTCAAATGAGACCCAGACAAAGTAGACGTCTGCCAAAACCCAGTAACAAGCTGCAGCTTTTCCTCTGTCCTACAGCTCGGGGCTTGTCGTCTCCTATAATGAAGTCTAACATACATACTGAACCAGACACCTGTTAATGTCCGACCTTAGACCCTGCCAAGACCTCCATTAGTCCCAGGAGTCCAAACCTGTGAGGTTTTGTACTGTATTGTTCTCCAGATTCTTCTGACCTGAAACAAAACTTTCATGATTTTGACATTTCTTCTCACTTTGTAACTCGATTGCAACTGTGAAACATTGTTTTTTGACAAATTATGAAGATAAAAAGCAGCATGTCGAGATCTTCAACCATCCTCTGACCTAAAACAGTACCACATGGTAGTAAATGACACGGAAACTTTTTTCACACACAAAATGTGTTACGCTTTTTTTTTCACACACAAAATGTGTTACATTTTCAACCATTTGTGATTTTTGTCTTCTTGTAATGATATAATAATAGCTAAATCTACTAAACTATCCTTTTGGACAAATGTAATATTGTTTTGCACTGACATTTTGTTGTCTTTTATCTAAGTTTTGGCAGATTTGGCCAACTTACTGATTAAATTCTGCCCACCTTTTGTCATCAAAGAGCTAACTTAGCTATATTTGGCTAAATATTTTCCTTTCTGCATGGCTTTTAGTCACAAATAGTTATTGTTAATGTTCATATCTGAGTCATATTAAGAGGATAATAATAATTGTATTCTATATAAATTAATATTCATATTTAAATTAGCTATTTAAATTTCTTTTGGTCTAATTTATTCCTTATATGGAAAAATAAATAAATAATTTCTCTGTTTGGCTTAACTTTAAGCTAATGTTTTGGCCATAACGTTTTGTCAACTGATCTATTTTTAACTGATATTTTAGGTTAGATTTTATACTAGTTGCAGTTTTAATTTCTAACACATTTCCAGAACTACAACATTCATCTCCAGCCAAAGACTTTAGAAATAACAGTCTTTGCATGACAAAAATAAAATGGACATAAATGTGGTGACAGTCACATTTAGTTACAAAAATAACATTTCAAAGTATCACAGTTTATTTTCTTCCCGGAGCCTCAGAGTTGGAAGAAATGTTATGAGAACGGAGACGACTTTACGGGCTGTTTGTTTCCTTTTCCTCCATCTGTTTACTTTTCCATCCAACTGTCTATTTTATATCTGTTTTTTTTTCAACCTCTGCGTCCCCTACTCTGGACATTATCTTAATAATTCAGTTTACTGCTGGACTGTAGAGACTGTAAAGAAATGTTTGCGAAGCCTCTGAATTGCTGCACGAAGGAGCGACTCCTGCAGTTTCTCTGCAGTTTCCCAGAGAAAAGGAAAGATAAAGTAGAACTGTTATCTACGCTCTTGCTTAACGGGGCTCAAAATGTGCTAACAGGCAGATGTGATGTTGGCGCGCGGCCAAGTGTCTACTCTGTTGGAACGGACCAAACCTCTTTTAGATATTTGGAGAAAACCTTGAGTACACCTGAGAATTTTCCCTCTTTTCTGTAAACTCTACACGGCTGCAGATACACACTGTGATAAATGTGTGTGAGAACACATACCTCAAGGCGTGTTCCCTCGCGGGGGAATTGTACAAGGAACTGGGAACAGTACCAGGAACTCGATGTTCTTCGTCCACAGGGTTCTGGAGGTGTCAGTACGAGTTTCGAAACTGTCTCTGCCTCAGAGTAAGGACTTTTTAGGAACGATGATTCGCAGCTAATCCCTGTTCCTGATTGGACGAAAATTCAACCCATTTTATTTTCAGTTACTATTTTTAAATCTCAGGCATGAAAAAAAAAAGTTTTTTCAGACATTTTTATGGAACTTACTGTGGTGGAGTCACAAGCAGTGGTTTCAAGTTGTTGTTTCATTAGGTTTCTGTCAATTTGCATTGACTATCGGTCTGTTTTATTGGAATCTGGGGAACAGAGTCACCTTCGCGAAGTAGAAGACAGGAGTGTCAGTTGTTATGACCTCATTCTCACCGTTCAGATAAATGAACTCATTTGTTCTGAGGTTTCACCCATGTTGTTTTTTTTTTTTTTTTTTATTCCGTTCAGGGGGTTTCCAGACTAGACTCACACTGATACTGATCAACGACTCTGTCTGCTGCGCAGGATCATAAAACAAAACCACTGGAAACCCCTTAAATACAATTTATTGCACATCTATCAGTCGAATCCCACTTTTTAATTTTTGTTTTCCATGACTTTCAGTCGTGTTTTCTAAAGCAAAAAAAAACAACAAAAAATGCAGATTCTGTCCAAGAGAGAGTGAAGAAAATTTCTTTTCCAGTCGAGCTCGGACTTTGCCAGCTGTTTGTGAATCCTGGTGTGCGGTGTTTGCGACTGTGTGTGAAGGTGGAACATCAGGCTTCTCCTCTCCTTCGTGTTTGTTCTGCGTTTTTTTGCCGTTGCTCAAGTTCATTTCCAAGGCGACGTGCCGTCCAGATGTGGGCTGCTGCTGTCGCCACCGTCTGTAATCATGTCTGTCCTTCAGCTGGCCACAGCCCTTCGCTAGTGTCCAATCTGAGTCTCCCAACGTAAACAGAGGTTTTTCCTCACGTGCCGTGAAGACAAACATAGGGTGTGACATTGACAGGAATCCGGTTGGATGATATCGACCAGTTAAGGCAGAGACCTGGAACTGGTTTCCTTGTCAGACTTTGGTCTTTATACGAGGTGTCCTCGACTTTCGACAGAGTTCAGTTGGTTATGGCTTTGGTGGGTTTTTTTTTTTTTTACACTCTACAATTGTAAGTAAGCAACTTTTGAAAGAATCTCCTCATGATTTGAGGAAACATCGAGTTACGAGTGCTTAACTGAGCTTTTTTTTTCTTCCACTCAACACCCACACACGCACGTTACTTTACTCATTTTTTTATAAAATATAAAATGTTTTTTATGATTATTTTATATTATCATTATATATGTTTATATCTATGTTTTTGATGTTTAGATGTGGGGAATATAATTTAATAGTATATTTCTGTGGGGCTGGAAATAATTAATTGGTTTTTAGTTATTTTTCAATGGGGAAAATACATTCCTGCCTTTAGATTCTGCATGTTATGATTTTCTTTTGGGTGGTAACAAGCTTAAGATTTGCTCTTTGAATCTTAAACGTCCACAAAACCCTGCAGATGCCAAACTTTAAAACTCCTTAAAACATTTTGCTTTTAGACCAATCATAGCATACCTCCTGAATTCCTGTTGTTGTGTTTATGTCGTACAGACAGCAGCCACAGCAGCAGCAGTGCTAAAGGGGAGCGACTCAGCGCCAAGATGCGATCACTTCCTGCCTCCAACGAGCCCTACGAGACCAGCAGCCCGAAAGAGCTGGGTGAGGGACCGTCACTCAGTCTTTTCAGCTGTCATCAATGACATGAATTTTTAAAGCTTTCATCTCGTAAACCTCATTTGCAGACGCATCCTACGTGGACCCACTGGGACCTCAGATGGAAAGACCAAAGACGGGAGCCAAGAGACGCGTGGAAGAGGACGATTTTGCAGATGAAGAGTTGGGAGACGACCTGCTGCCGGAGTAGCCGCTTCAAAAAAAACGCTCTGCGTCTTAAATATCCATATGACGAAATATCATGAAAACACTTTCGACATAAACGTTTAACTCCTGAACGCTTCAGGTTCCTGCAGCCTACGAGACGTTGGTTCTTCGAGATGACAGCATCTGGACACTCCCCGGAGTTTGATGTTTAGACATCAAAAGAACGGCGTGTGTCTGTGTGAAATGAAGTGACCACAGATCAGAGGAGCTCTGTTTTTGGTTGCCTTCAGGTAAAGTGGGGCGAAGGTTCAGTCTGTGGTTATTAACAACTGACTCTATGTCTAAAACCCAAGGGTGTGGTGGGAAAAAAACCCCAAAAACTAAAGACCTACGATTTATCACCACTGCTTCATTTAATGTATTTCTTACAGAATCTTCTGGAAAACAAGTGATGTTACAGATTTTACTTTTTACAGATGCTTTTTTTATTTTTACCAAACATATTTATTTGTAATATAATACCACGTTTTTCTTATGTGAAACATTTATAATATAAACAATATATATATTATGTCTTTCTCCGTCTTTACTGAACGTTTTGGTAAGATCATTTTCTAATCTTTGTATTATGTCTTTCTCCGTCTTTACTGAAAGTTTTGGTAAGATTTTGTTTCTAACTCAATCACTTTCTAATCTTTATTTAGTCCTTTGCTAACTCACCTTGTGCTAAGATTTTATCTTTTTCATCAGAGAATTTTGCTAATTTTGGGGGGAAAATTTAAGCTGTGTTCATAATTTGTCAACTGCTGCTTTCAGCTAGTGTCCGCTTTAATTTTAGCGCCGTCTAAATATTACATTACATACATTGCAGAATAGTACAAATATATATTTTTTGACATTCTTAAATGACAAATTAAATAATTGTATTGAAAACAGCTAAAAATGAAATGATTATGTACATTGAGTTGCAGGCGTGTGCAGAGTTTGGTCCCCGGACCAGGAGTTGGGACCTCTTCTCTAACAGATAGCCAATCAAACCAAGTAAGATTGAAGAGGATGTGGACTGACTCCTGTCAAGATCTGCTCTAATAAGAACTGAGTAAAGTTTTATGACTGCAGCTAAATTTCTAGGAGGGAAGGTCATCTGTGTTCGCTGCATCAGTCAGAGCTGCTCTGGATCACACTGTTCCTGTTCTTGTTTCCACCCCCTCTCTGCCAGGGGGGAGAATCGGGGAGGACGAGGAGACTCCGAGCTCCTGAGGGTGAGTAAGAACCAACAGGTGTAAAGCTCTCACCTCTGTCGTTCTTTGTCATTTCGGAGACGCTTCTTCTATGGCGACACTTTGTGGGCGTGTGGTGCCAAAATGCTGCGCTGGCTGTGCGCCCGAGCCGCGCTCTGTGCGCCAGGACTGTGGACTGTTCGTCTGCCGCTGGGTTTTACTGCGGTAGAAGTGAGGAGGGAAAGTGACCCGGTCACAGACTCGGCGACATCATCAGCGTTTTTAATATTTATTTACGTCTGAGAGGTAGATCTTCCACGGTGGATGAGTATTTTATCTCCAGAAAACGCACGGAGATGCCGCGTCAGACCCGCCTCCTCCTGCTGCTGCTCCTGTTCCTGATGCTGTTCCTGGACTTCAGCAGCAGCAGCAGCCAGAGAAGGTCATCAGGAACCGGTCGAGTCCGGAAGAAGGCCCGCAGGAACCGCTCCTGCCTGGACCTGCCTGAGGAGATCCTGGAGCAGATGTTCGGCCGCCTGTCTGTGGGGGTGATGAGCGCCTTCCATCACGCGCTGCAGCTGGAGCCGCAGGGGAAAGTGAACATGAGCTGCCCGAACACCGGCCGAACCATGACCCAGACCAGCAGCCGTCTGCCGGTCAACCTGCTCAGTGTCTCCCCCTGGGCCTACAGGTGAGTAATGTCTTGTAATGTCTGGCTACTCACTTAGAACAGCTAAGATATGATAAGATATAAAATAGATTACAAAAAACTGTCTAAAGTGAGCATGCTGCTCCATGTTATGTATGTTTAAAATGCTGGTTAAAAAAAATTAATAACTAAGTAATAACTAAGGAACTTTAAGTAAATACCATATACATGGCCAAAACAAACTACAACAATTTGAAGAAAAGTCTGGTTAAAAAAATGATTGAAATAAATCCCAAATATTTAGGTAATTGTATTAATTAAATTAAAATAAGTAATTCACTTTGCCTAATAATAGACCTGATAACTCAAAATAGTAAAATATTTAGCTTGAATATCCAACTTGAAATACTAATTTACTACAACACAGCTAAATATAAGATAACTGCTCAAATTAAAAAGCTAAAAATTCATAAATTTATTTTAGGAAAAACTATAAAAATATCAAATTAGTCTAAAAAGGTGAACCAAAAAGAGCAGCATATTTGGGGGTTAGAAAAAAAGGCTCTCACAGTGGGGGGGGGAAGCTCTTAAAGATATTTTTTTCTCTTTTAAACAAAGTTAATTTTCTTCTTACTTGTTAATTTATAATGAATACATTTTAGAGAAACATTTTGATATACATCACCAGCCTTAGAGAAAAACCAACCAATGCCCCTGTGTTTGATTTAAGGATCTCCTATGACCCGACCCGTTACCCCCGTCACATCCCTGAGGCCTACTGTCTGTGTAAAGGCTGCCTGCTGGGATCCTACGGTCAGGAGAGTGAACACTTCCGCAGCACTCCGGTCTACGCTCCCTCCGTCATCCTGAAGAGGACCGGCTCCTGCGTCGCAGGTCGACACTCCTACACCGAGATCTACGTGTCCGTGGCCGTGGGCTGCACCTGCGTCCCCCTCCTGGACAAGGAGAGGGACGCGCGCAGAAGCAACCAGAGTCTGGACAGAACCCAGACCAAAGCTGGACACACGAGGACTGTGAGAAAGAAGGTGTAGAGGAAGCTTTTCTACATGGGAGTCAGGTCAGACTGTGGCCTTACTACCAGTGGGAGAGCAGAGCCTAATAATAATAATAATAATGCTGACTAGAGTTGACATTTACAAAGAGGATCAGACGATGACAGTTTCAACTCTGTTGGAACAAGATTACAGTATTTTCTTCTTCAGAAGAGTCAAAGACTAATATGTGTTTTGGAAAATAAATGTAGCTGTTGTTCAAAAAATGGAGATGAAAACCTTGTTTATTTTTCAGTGACAGAAGCAAAAAGATTAAAAAGCAAACTTAAGTTAACAAAGACTTACGCCAAGAACTCCTGTGTCAACATGCAGCGGTTATATGCTGCCCCCTGCTGGCGTAAATAAAGACTACCGGTAAGTCATACAACAGACACAGCAGACACAAAATATATATTTTAAGTAAAGTATATATTTTTTTAAATCTTGATCAAATACTGTAGTAACCGACCAGTGAATGCCTCACAGCTCTGTGTTTTCTCTGTCCGTGACAGACTTCTGTGTTTGTGTAAAGGATCTACAAACATTCCCGTTAGTCAGAACCAGTTCTGGGATGTTATGAAAGGAGCAGGTTGAATCAGATTTTCTTTGAAAGTGTGTACTTAACTTCACTAACACCTGTGTTGTTCTTGCGTCATCAGAAAAGTCCAAACATGAGTCAGAGGACAGTCCTACAGCAGTTTGGATGGATAGTTAACAAAGCAGCGGAACTCGTTAGACAGGTTTCTGTTGTGTTTGGGATGAAAGCTGCACTTCCTCACATCCAGAAGTTCTTTGGCCAAATTCTCCATCACTTCACCTGCAGGGAAAAACCACACACAAACTGCTGTGAAGATGTTTTTTTGGTAAGAATCATCCTGCTGTTTCACAGTGAAGGCGATATATGTCGGCTGTAATCAGAGGGTTTCTGTGACGCTCAGCTCCTCTCACCTGTGCACAGCAGAACTTTGCCTTTACTCAAGTATTTGATGGTTAGGGCAACTTTGGCCAGACACTCCTCAGACAGATAAGGAGGGTCTGCAAGAACCACGTCAAAGCTCTGCTCAGGCACCGACGACGACAGAGCCAGCGGCTCCGAGTAGTCGTAGAAGATGAAGTCGTCTCCGTAGGCGGCGAAGCGACGGTCGTACTCCAAAATGACTGCCGTTACTAGATGTGATCCATCCACCACGCCCTGCTTCAGCTTCTGGTACACACTTGGCGCGCTCACACAGGCGATCCTGAGAAACACACCAAAGATGACAGCCTTTGATTGGTTCAGACACGTGTGACTTACGTGGACCACGTGCTGATATTTACCTCCAGGTAAACATAGCAGTATTTTTGATCCAACTTAAACTATTATCCTGTCATGTTATTTTACTATTGTGATTCTTAAAAAGGTCATTTAATAGACTTAACGAATTAAGGATTTAAATATGGGTTTAGCTTCATATTTATATACCTCCATAGTTGTATACGTTAAAATAACTAAATTATATTGGGATCGTTTTGTTTTTTGTGTGTGCTTTGTTTTACCTTCCTCCTTCTCCAGCCTCTCGTATGACCTCCTCAGCTAACCGTGTCGCTGTTTCATCAGTGTACCAGAACTGACTCATCTTCTGGACACACACACAGACAGAAGTGGAATTCATTTTTTATGTATTTTATAACAAAAACCCCTTAAATTGATTTAGTTTGTCAGAAATAGACTGTTTTTATTGTCACTACGAAGAGAAGAGTGACTCACCCAGTCCTCCGCCACTGCTCCCACAGCAAACACGTCTGTGGAACCAGGCTCCTGCTCGGTCCTGGTCCTGGTCTCATTGTAAAATTCCTCCAGAGCAGCCAAAGTGTGAGCTGACAATGTAGGAACATCGTCGTCATCATCACTGCCACTCATTTCTGGTGGAGCAGAGAACACCTAAAGGTTATAGACATAATGTTTCCGTCCTATGTCACTAATTTACCTTTTGTTTGGATATTGTATGCGGCTTTAAGACTTTATCTTTCAATTTAACTATAAGAAATAGGATGAATACATTGAGTTTTACCTCGTCAAAACTTCGCAAATCAGTCAAAAACGCGGATAATTCCTTACACTCTAATCTAAAATAGAAACTAAATAAAACAGTCGATTTAGACTCGGGTACACTTTCCTCAAATCAAATCAATCTACCAGAAGAGGTTCAGAAATCCTGCTCAACAAATTCTGAAACTTGGAAACACGCTTCAGTGTCGCAAGATGATGACGTAGTGACAGCGGGCGTGTCCAACGTGGATTGATACCAACACACAAATGACACAAAACATGCTGCCAAGTGAATAACTTGTGCCAAAACAAAAACAAACAACACATCATATCTTGTCCTAATATTACCAGAAACAAGCAATCTTACTGTCGTTGAGTCCCAGAAATACCGCAAAATGCAAGTTTAGAGAAAGGAAGAGAGAGAGCTATATTTGGGGAATCCTTCTTACTTGTTCTTACAGATAGAGGCAAACAATGAGGTGCTGCTTCGTTTCTTGGCCATTTTTGTAACATTTGCACACATTTGATGCGATCAGTATTTGCAGCATAATTCAGTAAAAGAGTTGCTGGAATTTCCCTTTAGCTGCACTGACAATAGTGTTCAGTGATCGTGTGTAGGTACTCGTTGACAAACTAATGAGCTGTCACATGGTAGATCGTAGCTGCCGCTTGTGATTGGATAACGAGGCGGAGCCGTGCTGTTTAAAAGCGGAAGGAAGTAGTTCTACTTCCGGGGGCGGTGGTAGTTGCAAAATGGAGCTGCTTGAAGGCACAGAGCAAAAAACTTTGTTGTTTTTTTTTTGTTTTGTTTTTTACGACGGTACGTATTTCCATCTCTGGTTCTCTTCACATTGGCGATTAACCCGTCATGTGAAGGACCAGTATTCCGAACCGAGTGGGGCAGCCGGTTAGCCTGCTAAACAGTAGCCTGTTTGAGCCTCTTGATTTGTACGTTCAAACTTCTGACTGCACGTATTGCTTAAGGCAGCGTGTTGTTCAATTGTACGTGATAGCGCTTTATTCGGCCTCTAAATAGCCGCACGAACACCGTCTCGTTTGACTGGTCCAAACATTTTGGCCACGTGTTAGTGAAGCAGCGGCCTGTTCTGCGGAGACGTTTGCTTCAAAGTGGTACTTGCTCTTTGTAGTGAATTGTAACGAGGAGACATCCACGAAGAAGACGGCGCATTATTATTGAGGGTACGAATTTACACGTTTTCATTCTTTCATTATTTAAGTACATATATGGAATTAAGTAAAGCCCTTCAGGTGTAGCAGCAGACCACCAACGCCATCACCTGGGCCGGTGGACTTCACGACGCCAAGAAGTCCGAAGCGTCTGGTTTCTGTTACGTGAAGGACATCGTCCTGGACATTTTTGAGCTACTCTTGTAAGAAACATTTCAAGAATTTTTTTTTTATTTATTTTTTGTTACCGGAAATGACACTCTTCACCAGCAATTATAATGTTTCCAGGACATCGTGGGGCTGGAAAGGGCAAATACTACTCAGTGAATTACCCACAAAGCCATCTTTAAACCGGTAAGTGTTTAAGCATTTTTCCCCCCAATGTCTTTTAGGCCTCAGGAAGTTTGAATGATGACCTTTAACAGTGCTTTTTTTTTTTTGCTTTTTTTTTAAGTTTGAGCCCATTACCAAAGAATAACCTGAGGAGGAGGTCCAAGAATGCTGCCAACCAAGGGACAAGGAAGCAGAAGAGGAGTAACCTGTGGGTGATTGACTGCAGCCAGAAGTGGAATTGCATTTACTTTCTTTATTTGTATGGAATCTTGAATTTATTTCATTTTGTTTCAGGCCAAAAGGTTTAATGAAGTTCATCCACTCCTGATGATGGGACCTTTGAATCCTGTGGTAGACGGAAGTAGCGTTGTGAGTATGTGATCTGTCAGTTTGTACCTGAAGTGTTAAAGGTAAGAGTTGCTGTTGTAATTTGACTTTTTTATTTTTTTTATTTTAAGTTTGAGCCCATGACCAAAGAATAGCCTGAGGAGGAGGTCCAAGAATGCTGCTAACCAAGGGACAAGGAAGCAGAAGAGGAGTAACCTGTGGGTGATTGACTACAGCCAGAAGTGGTATTGCATTTACTTTCTTTATTACTTTCTTTATTTCTATGTACGGAATCTTGAATTTATTTCATTTTGTTTCAGGCCAAAAGGTTTAATGAAGTTCATCCACTCCTGATGATGGGACCTCTGAATCCTGTGGTAGACAGAAGTAGCGTTGTGAGTTTGTACCTGAAGTGTGAAGGTAAGAGTTGGTGTTGTAATTTGACTTTTTTTTTTTTTGTGTATCTATGGACTTTGATTGAATGCATGTTTTGCAAATGTGAAGTGTTTTGCTATTAAAAGAATCAAAAGTTGTTGTTCTGCTGTTTATTGTGAAAGTATTCTGGTTGGTTTTTTAACTTACTGCATTTTACAACTTTAGTTTTTTTATGTAACTACAATTTTTTATGTAACTACAAAAAACTAAAAAAAAAAAAAAAAAAAAAAAAAAAAATTTTTTTTTTTTTAAAAAATATAACTACTAGTATAACCCTTGACTTTGTCTTTGCCTTTGACTTTGACTTTGACAATGCATGCCCTATAGCGCAATGAGAAAACCCATTCATATTCTTCATTTTTTGGCTCAATATCTTGAAATGAATGCACAATATAGGCAATTTTTTTATTTTTATTGAAGGTTTCAAATACAGCATACAAATTACACAATGATTGCACTATATAACCAGGAAGAAAAGGAACAATAAGGCTAATACACTATAAAAAGCAAAAAAAAAAAAAGAACAAAAGCTGAAAAATATATATACTAAGTAAAAAAAAAAACTAAGTTAAAAAAATTAAAATCTGTTACAATAGCAAGCAAATTACACAATGAATGCACTACACAACTAAGTTAAAAATGAAATGTAAAGCTAAAAAAAATATATACTAAGTACAAAAAAGTGAACTAAAAAAAAACTAAGTCAGGAAAAACTTAATAGCAATCAACTTGCACAATTCAGTAAAACACTTACAAGTCCAACAAGCGATCTGCTTCAAATAAAGTTGCTGTGTTAGTCTTCGTCTTCTCCTCCATGGCATCTGTTAATGAAAAAAGCAGAGGAGGTGCAATGAATGGAATGACAAGAACGAGCTGGAATAACAATCAAAAGCTGTGTTGGTCTCATTTACCTCTTGCCATAAGGGTAGAAAGCCACAGTTGATGGGACCAAAATGACCTTTGACTCCTGCCAAACTCCTCCTCATACACAGTGTGGAAGAACCTGCAGATTAGAAGAACACAGCATTGTGCCACATGTTAACACAAACAGGTTTTCCTTAAAAGCAGCTACAAAGTAGGTTTGAGGTCACTGTTGATCTGCTAGGGTACACATTGGAGAAATGGCTGTCAACATTCAAAAGTAACAAAACCATAACAGCCAATTCATTTCAAACTGGACCACTTATTTCTCCTAAAATGTACTTCACTTACTCAAAAGTCAATTTAAGAATATGTCATACATGAACGACGAGTACAAAACTTAAGAGGAAAATAACTCTTTTCTTTATTCGCCTTCAAAACTCTTCTCTGGGTGTTCTCCTTGATGGCCAGCAGGTGTCATTCTGATACTAACATTTTTCAACAACTGTTATCACATCAATCATTTAGACTCAAATGGCACAGAACTACCATCACATAAGAGTTCTTACCTTGGCGGTGTTGTCTTTGAGGCACTGATGAACACATTTTCCTTTCACCCACCGGTCTCGCCGTCCCACATTTTGGGTGTCCCCTGAGAAGAGTCAGTTAGGGAACATAGCATGTATCATGGCAGCAATTCATGAGCGTACGCTAGGGTCAACTGTGTCATTTTCATCTCAGAGAGCTTACGACAAATTTTCAAATTTGTATAAAAAGAGAGTATTTGTATAAAGGGGAAAATTAACAACAGTATATATTACATAAAGTCGGAAAATCAACAATTGGAGCTTCTCCACCAGGACCACAACTGCTACTATAACGACGTCTACTAATTCCAATGTTGGCTACACTTTTAACATATGGGGGCTTAAGTTTTAGCTTTTGGTTTTTCAAACATTTACCTTTTCCGGACGATCCATCCGCTGTTTAGTGAGTGTTTACAGAGAAGAAAACGCTAGACCGCAGCACTAAACACACGGTAGCAGGTTAATTTACCTACAAAAAAAAGTTTATCGACAAAAAACTAACGCACCAGTGTCCATAAAAAGGCTGAACATCACATAAAACTGCTTCATTATGCAGTTTAAACGTAAAAAAGGTAGTTTGTGTCAAGTTAGCTTGCCTCCCGTGACATCTAAACGCACTCGACGTCGACGACAAAATGTTTGAGAAACGAGAGCACGCCTTTCCAGGATAATTTGAAACCTCTGGCTACGCATGCGCGAACCGGGGAGAGGAAATGACGTAGGTTTAATTACGTTTAACGTAAATGAGTTTGTAGCTCTGTGTGTACAAATAAATAAAAATGAAAATGAAAAATAAATAAAGAGAATTTTCTTAATAACATTTTAGATATTCAATCACATCCATCCACTAGGTAGTAGGTTTCAGGTGCAAATTCTATATATTGAATTTTTAATTTGCATGTAATTAACTCCGTGACATAAACAACACAAATTAAACTACTATATTCATTCAGCCTCCATCTTGGACCGGACACATACCAGCACTATAATAAAGAGGAATAAATAGTATATATTATTTACATATAAATATAAAATATATTAATTATATTATAAGAATTTGTACATATTTCGAGTGCACATATATACTTTATTTCTTAAATACGTATTGTATCATATATATTAGTTATACCTATATAGATTAGTATCATTAATTATATAATAGGAATAAAGCGGATGGGGTGTGATGTTCTGTCATGTCTCACTTGACACAGAACAAGTAAGAAGGATTCCCTAAAGATAACTCTCTATCTCTAAAGCTGCATTTTGAGGCATTTCTGTGAATTTGTTTTGCAAAGGTAAGACTATGTTCTTGTTTGTTTTTGGTAATATTTTGACACCGTTAGATATGATGTTTTTGGAGTTTTAAGCACAAAATATT